GAAAGGAGGAGCTGGGGTGTGTGTGTGTGTGTGTGTGTGTGTGTGTGTGTGTGTGTGTGATTGCCATTTGGAGATAGAGGTCTCACTGTTCTGCCAGCCTGGCCTTGAACTCCTGGGCTTGAGAGAGCCTCCTGCCTCAGCCTGACAAATAGCTGGGACCGAAGGAGGGCGGGTACCTCTGTGATTGGCTCTACCTTGGGTCCTGGGAGGTAAAGTGACAGGTGAGTCAGTACCAGAGATAGAGTCCTACATGCCTGGCTTCAGGACTCCTTTCCCTGCTTCTCTGTGCTTTCTGTATTCATGACTTCTGAGATAGTAGCTGAAACACAGACTTATTTTCTTTTTTTCTTTTTTTTGGTTTTTTGAGACAAAGTGTTGATATGTAGTTCTAGTTGGCCTTGAACTCACTGGGTAAACCAGACCTCAAACTCACAGTGATCCTACTTCAGCCTCCCAGTGCTGGGAGGACAGGCAAGTGTACTACAGCTGACAGCACTGAGCCTTTTCAGAACCAGAAGTACTAAGCTTGGTGACAGGAGAACAAAGCTGAGTCACACGGAGTTGCTATTTTTGTGGGTGGCCCAGTGTTGAGAATCGGCACTTTGATTGCATTGGTACAGTGGTGCACAGGTGGTCTCAGACTTGTGGTCTGCGTACTTTCTCGCCTTTCCCATGGTGCGGAAAGTCGTGGTGTTTGGCACGGTACAGGATAAATGACATGGGCCAGTCACCACCACGTGTAAAGTGGGATTGGCGCCAGGGGTGCTGGCGAGCTGTAGGTGGCAGTAAGCGCATGTTTTGACTGATCTGTGGGCATGGGCAGCCCCTCCTCCACCAGAACACCAGTTAAGTGGCCTTCCTGTTTGTAAGCCATTCTGGAATATTCAGACAAATCCCACTTCTCCTTTTTTAGATTACAAATTTAACCCTAGAGACGTTAAAGTGAGCTTGCTTGTGGACACACACCATTTAGTTTTTGTTTTGCTTTGAGATGTGACCTTCATATGTAGTGCAGCCCAGTGAACTTACTGTGTAGCCCATGCTGGCTTCCAATCCACGGGATCCTCCTGCCTCAGCTACCGAGGGCTGGGATGACAAGCGTGTGCCACCTCCCCAGGCTGTCCACCCTGTTCAGTTCCAGAACCCAGCTGGGTACTGAGGTGCCTGTGGGGTTGCCGACCGTGCTCACTGGGGTGCTTGGTGGGCTCGGTCTGCCCCTGGGGTTCTGGTGCTGCCTCTGCTGCCCAGCAGGCCGTTGAGAAACTGTAAACAGCGGTGGAGTGCTGCGCAGGAGGAAGCTGTGGCTTCTGGTCTTCCTGTCACTGGGGTGTGCTCAGAGGTGGCTCATATCTGCCCTGCTCGCAGCAGGAGGGGAGTTGTGGAGGATGCACGGTGGCTGTCAGCACAGGGCCCAGCCCTGGGGCCCCTGCAGAGGACGCTGTGTCTGTGTGGAGGACAGCGAGGTGGGTGCCAGCCTGTTCTGGGGCTCATCCCCAGCTTCCTGGGGAGGCAGTCGGCAGGGCTGTTGTGCTCATCCATCTTCTTTATGTATCTTTTTCTGAGACAGAGGGTCTTGCTGTGTAGTCCAGGCTGGCCTCAAACTCCCCATGACCCTCCTTCCTCGGCCTCCTGAGTGTTGGGATTACAGGTGTGCACCACATTGCCTGGCTCGTCCATTTTAACTCTAGGAAAAAGGCCAGGAGTTTTATATCTCCTTGGGGAAAGTTATTTTGCTGTGGGTGTAGAGTGATTCGGACCCAAGATCTGAGATAAACAATGGTAGTGGGAAGAGGTCAACAAATTGAAAGCAGCACATTGGGCATGGTGGCACATGCTTGTAATCCTATCATTTGGGAGGCTGAGGCAGGAGGATCACAAGTTTCAGCTCAGCCTGGGCACCTTAGCAATGTAACAAGACCCTGTCTCAAAATAATGATTAAGACAAGGACCCAGGATGTAGCTAAGGTTTAATCCCCAGTGCGCGAACGGAGAGCAGCTAAAGCTGGACAGATTTGGCCTGGAACTCTGTCTGCCCATGGCAGGACTTGGGGCACTGTGGGGTCACTGGCCTTGCAGCGTGGCCTTCCTGGGCCTGTGCGTTTGTCACCAGGAAAAGCCAACAGCAGCTGGTGGAGCCTGCTTCCTCTTGAATGCATGCAGTCCTGAGCCAGGCCTGCACCTGGTAGTGTCAAGCTCCTTGTTTTGGCCTCTGTGGCTCGGGCTCCGGCAAGAGGCCCCCTCTACCTAGGTGGGTGCTACAGTGGGCGGGTGCTGGGGCGGCTTCTGTGCTGACAGCGTCCTGTCGTGTGCAGGATCCACCGTAGCCCTTTGTCCCTGGAGTGGAAGATGGTGGCAGCCTGCTGTGCCCCGTGGAGGGTGTGGGTGACCTCCGGTTTCCACGGAGGCTGCCTGGGCCCTCACACTGAACTGCGCCCTCTTCCTGTGGCTCTCTTGTCCCTGCCGGGCCTGGTTACCACCTGCAGTGGCTTGGGCTCCTCTGTCTGGGTTCAGGACTCAGCACGTGGCTGGAGCTGGACTCAAGCCCACCCGGGGTTTCTACGCACCTTTATTCAGAGGCTGTGGCTTTGTTTTGTTTTCCTTGCTGGGGATCAAACCCAGGGCCCTCACACTGAGCAACTTCCCAGCCTTTACTTTTTTATTTTGAGCCAGGGTTTCTCTGAGTCATTGAGTAGCCCAGTCTGGCAGGAACTTGGGATCTTCCTGCCTCAGCCTCACAGAGAGCTGGGATCACACCCGAAGCGAGCCCAGGACAGAGCCCGCCTGTGGTTGGGCGGAGCTGCAGGAGGGCCTACCGCATAGCCCTCTTCCTTTCTCCCTTCTCAGGCTGCTTAATGTGCTCTCCAGCGGGACATGGGGCTCCTCGCACTTACGCAGAGACCAGCTGGTGTTGGTGGCCATGCCACGTCCATTGGTCCCCAGGCAGAGGCCACCGTCCCATGGGTCCACATGTGTGGCCTCTTTGCTTGGGTGTGAGCAGCTGCTGACTTAGCAATGGTTCCAGGGAGTTTGCTTAGTAGCCTCGGCTTCTTGTAGCCTGTCCCACACGGAGTGGCTGAGGTTTAGCTGCTCCTGCTCGTCTTCCTCCTCCTCCTCCTCCTCCTCCTGCTCCTCCTCCTCCT